TTAATAAGTAGGCTGTAATTAGAAATTGTTAATAGTAAAAAGACCTAAAGTCTAACTCATAATCCTAACATACATCACTAAATCATATCCAATAATAATAATAATAATAATAATAATATAAATAATAATAATAATAATAATAATAATAATAATAATAATAATAATAATAATAATAATAATTATTATTATTATTATTATTATTATTATATATCAATATGAATGAAAGAAAAAGAATACAGAAAGAAAACAAAAAAAACATGAAGGTCTACGTGAGATAGCAACACCATTTTTAACTAAAAACATTATCCTAATACCTTGATTTTAGCCAAAAAGAAGTTACTATATTATCTTGACCTTTTCAATTTAAAAAAATAAATAAATAATCCACATCATAAATAAATAAAATAAAATAAAAACAATTAAACCATAAGATGAGAATGAACATATCAGATCCAAATTCTTGTCCCTCACTTTGACTTTTCAAATAAACTCCTAGCCCTTAGAATGACAACACATGGCAATAGAGTTTTTTTTAAATAAAAATAAAATGTAGCCAAGCAAAACAAAAAGCAAGCAACGTAGTTGTATTACTCTCTCTCGTCTGCTTACAAAAAAATCAATTTTTTTAAAAACTAAATTCTCACCATCACAACTCGTAAAGTCACACAGATCCAGATTTATACATAACACAACAAATAAAACCAAGATGCAAGGGGTGATACTTAAATCGAAAGATGTTACGTCACTAAGCGGAGGTGATTGGAACGACAACCAGTGGTGAAAGGTATGACTACAACTGCAAAAGAGTGTGGTGCAACGGTTCAGCCGAAAATGGTTTGTACGCGTCGAGAATATCGAACTCCAACTTCTTAGTGTTAGTCTTTTTATTTATTACTTTGTTTTTTCTATCTCTTTTATGTGTGTATTTCTGAATTTTTTTCTGTTTTTTTCTTGTTGTTTTTTCTCTTTTTTTGTGTACCATTTATTTTTTTCTAATGCATATATATAGGACTAGAAAATAGACAAGAATTATAATAACAATTAACACAATATTTTTTTGTTTTTTTATAATAAGACAAGAATAAAAGGAATTAAAAATCATGTTTTATGTTTTTTATGATAATACAAGATTAAAAAGAATTAAAAATCATGTTTTTGTGTTTTTTATGATAAGACAAAAATAAAAGAATTAAAAATTATGTTTTTGTGTTTTTATAATAAAATAAGAATAAAAAGAATAAAAAGAATAAAAAGACATGTTTTTGTGTTTTTTTATTATAAGACAAGAATAAAAAAGAACTAAAAATTATGTTTTTGTGTTTTTTAAAAAGAAAATATTAATAAACAAATTAAAAATAAAATTAATTAATAAAAAAATTTACATTAAATCTCTAATTAAATCTAAATAGATTAAATGATTATTTAAATAAAAATGATTTAAAAACGAAATAAAAAGTCGGGCAAAAAGTGATCGAAAAAATAAAATGAACATACCAAAATAATCAGCGCGAAATAAACGACTAGGAAAAATACAGTGTTTGGTCAGATTTTGAAATAAATTTTACTCACTAAAAAGGCTTAAACTGGCCTAAAAAATGTCCAAAGAATGGTCGAAAAATTTAAATGAGCACGCCAGGTTAAACTACGTGAAACGTAGATTAATATAACTAACATTTGCAAGCTCGACCTTGAAATTTTCCGTCCACTGATTTTACACACAGTTGATTTTTATTTGATCAATTCGACTGTAATTTCAACAAGTTTATTCTAGCTAATAAATTGGATATTATGCATGATAAAATGTGTGATATGCTATGCAGACGTTGCGAAACGAAAAATAAAATCTCAGGGTCAAAAATTAAGGTATCACACTAAGTCTTCTTCCTCACAGATAACAATTCAACACCTCTTCCCCACAGACTACACTGGAACAATCAACATCAACAATACTCCTCTGTTTGGACTAAACACTGCATTCTTTGGATTTTAATGCTTTATTTGGGTTAATCACCTCTATTGTTAAAATACTTTTCTTCTTTTTTGCATTGCCATGTGAGCTCCATGCTCAGACAACCTTCTGTGTTGGTTAATCACCGTTTATCGGTTAAAATACTACATTCTCATTTCATGGGTTAATCACCATCTCATGGTTAATAAACCCTACAACTTATGTATTTGTTAATCGATGTTTATCAGTTAGAATACCACACATTCATTCTTGGATTAATCACCACTTCTTAGTTAATATACATATTATACGTTGGTTAATAAATGTTTATCGTTTAAAATACCAAACTTTCGTTCAAGGGTGAATCACCGCATCTTGGTTAACATACCCCTCATGCATGGTTAATCACTATTTATCGGTTAAAATACCTCATTCTTAGTTTAGAAACTGCATTCCTAGTTCAGACACCTACCCTATGGATACAAACGCCACAATCTTGGTTCAAACAATATTTTCACCATATCTTCACGACACTTTTCTTAAATCAAGTTCCCTTCCTTTTAATTCAATTCAAGCAACTCTTTTCTTTTTTCTTTTATCACACAAACCTTTTTCAAAAATATTTTCTTTATTTTCATAAAAGAACTGTTATAATCTGTTCCTTAGCAGTCAGACTAAAAGCTTGGAGCATCCAAATGAGGATCAAAATCAGCTAGCGTCTACACACTTCTAAGATATGATTATAACTGTTCTCTAAAAATAAACAACAAATCCGTATTTTCTACCATGAACTACGCAACTCTAATTTTCTCATTGCACTTGAGAATACATATGCACGAGCGTTTGAATCCTTGACGAGCACACTAATTTAAAACTTATTTTTTTCTCTTTTGCAAGTAACCTTTAAATATTAACACTCGTCCATGCAAAGAAAAATCAAAACAGTTCCCATTAAGTACGACATATGTAAGTGATGCTAATACCTTTCCCTCGTATAACCGACTCCCTTACCCGTTTCTCTTTCCCAAGGGTTTTATCGATATTCTCCCTTTTCTTTTGGAATAAATAAAGTTCAGTGACGACTCTGTTGTAAGTTTAAGCGTGTGATACGCTCGAGTATTTTTCATGCATTTGACAGGTGAAACTAAATCCAGACGGATCAATTGAGGAACATAAATCAAGGTTAATAGCTAGAAATTTTTTACAGAAATGTGGTTTAGATTACTTTGAATTGTTTGCATCTGTAGCTAGACATGAAACAATCAGATTGGCGATTGCTATAACTACAAATAGAAATTGTCTTCTGATGCATTTAGATGTGAAATCTACATTTTTGAATGGTCCTTTACAAGAGGAAGTGTATGTGTTACAACCAGCTAGATTTGTGAAAAAGAATTAGGAAGGAGTTATGTACAAGTTTCATAAAGCCTTGTATGGATTGAAACAAGCTCCTAGAACCAAGAATCTGAAAATTGATTCATTTTTCAAGCTTCAAGGATTCAGAAAATGTGAGATGGAGTGTGACACCTATATATGTTTAACATACATATGATAACAATGTGATTCTAGTGTGTCTCTATGTTGATGGCATATTGGTAACAAGAAGTTGTTCAAATGAGATAGCTAAGTTCAAGAAGATACTAATGAATGAGTTTGAGATGACTGATCTAGAAAATATGACATATTTTCTAGGGATAGAGACTTTTTACTCTGATAAGGTATAATCTTTTATCAGTTTGAGTACCAACTTGAGTTTCTGTAGAGATTCGAGCTAATGAATTGCAAGTCTGCAATTACACATGCTGAAATAAGTCACAAGCTTGATTATAATGTTGAGGGTGATGATGTAGATGTTACAACTTTTAAATAATTGGTAGGATCATTGAGATATCTCTATAATAGCAGACTTGGCATTTGCTATGCAGTTGAAATGGTGAGTAGGTTTATGAACAAGGCAAAGTGGTTACATTACCAAACTGCTGTCAGGATACTAAGGTATATTAAGGGAACTCTTAGGTATGAAGTTTTGTTCCCTTCTGATGCTGAATCTGATTCAGAGCTGATGTGCTACTCGGACTCTGATTGGTATGAAGATAGAGTTGACAGAAGAATTACTTCTGGATATTTATTTAAGTATTTGGGAGGTCCTATTTTTTGGTGCTCTAAGAAGCAACCAGTTGTTGCATTGTCAACCTGTGAAGTTGAGTACATTACATGTGCTTTGACTGCTTATCAAGCTGTATGGATTCTGAACTTGCTGCAGGATCTGAAGGTCAAGGTGAGCAAGCCTCTGAAGTTGATGATTGACAACAAATTAGTTATAAGTCTTGTCAAGAATCCAGCGGTGCATGAAAGAAGCAAACATATTGATACAAAGAAAATAAGTCCAAAAGATTGTAATTCAAATTCATTTTAATTTGCATTTAATTTGGAGTTAATTTGAGTTTCATTTAGCCTCTGATAGATTATAAGCTTTAACTATATCAAGATTTTAGTGTGAACATTGTAATCATTTTTATGTTAAGAGTTACTTACAAGTTTTCTCTCTTCTCTCTCTTTCATCTTCATCATTTTCATCTTCTTCTTTCTTGTACACCAACAAAAATATATATCACGGATATTATTCTAGTGTCCCAGTTTCGAATTTAAAAGAGAGTAGTGGTTTTTTTATAAAAGTATGATTTCTAAATAGTTAATCAAATAATTTTTTTAACAAAGATTAGAGATGATAAAATAGATTAATGTTTTAGATTCCCACCCCTAATTATGTTTATCTCGTGGCATGCCTATTTGCCACCCGAATATGTATCAAAATATTTACAAGAATAATGAATTTTTAACTGAGATAGGAGATTAAGCTGTATTTACTTTATTTTTTTAGTCTTCTTTGATGGTATAACATAGTACAATACAACTCAATACAAAAAGGTCACACTGATTAGTTAAAAAACGTTGACTATTCTTCTGACCAAAGAAAAACATTGAATATTCTTCCATTCTTTGTCTAATCAATTTTTCTATAGTTTCTCCATTGAAGTTGCCCATTGAAGACATGGCCATGTTCAAAACAACAAAACCATGCTTCTGGCTTTCTCTTCTCAACCTCATCTTCTCTTTGCACTACTATCCTTCCCTTGCAGCTCTAACCACCATCTCTGCAAACCAGTCTCTCTCTGCTGACCAAACTCTAGTCTCTGAAGGAGGAAGGTTTGAATTGGGTTTCTTTAAACCAGGTAATTCCCCTAACTACTTCATAGGCATATGGTACAAAAAGGTCTCTATACAAACAATTGTTTGGGTTGCCAACAGAGACAATCCTGTCTCTGATAAAAACACTGCAACCTTAAAAATCTCAGCTGGTAATTTAGTCCTATTAGACGAGTCTTCAAACCATGTTTGGTCAACAAACACGAGTTTTCCTAAGTCAGATTCTGTTTCAGCTATTCTTCTAGATACTGGAAATCTTGTTTTGAGAAATAGGCCTAATGATGATGCATTAGATCCTCTATGGCAGAGTTTTGATCATCAAACAGATACATTTCTTCCAGGTGGGAAAATTAAGCTTGACAAGAAAACAAAGCAGCCTCAGTTTCTAACTTCATGGAAGAATCGAGAAGATCCTTCAACGGGTCTTTTCTCTTTGGAACTAGACCCAAAAGGATCAACTTCGTATCTTCTTCTTTGGAATAAGTCTGAAGAGTATTGGACAAGTGGAGCTTGGAATGGACATATTTTTAGTCTTGTTCCTGAGATGAGGTTAAATTACATTTACAATTTTTCATTTGTCTCGAATGAGAATGAAACCTATTTCACTTACTCGTTGTATAACGATTTGATTATATCTCGGCTTGTGATGGATATCTCGGGCCAGATCAAGCAATACACGTGGTTGGAAAGTTTCAATCAGTGGAACCTCTTTTGGACACAGCCAAGACAACGATGTGACGTTTATTCTTTTTGTGGTGCATTTGCAGTATGTGATGACAACTCATTGCCTTATTGTAGCTGTTTGAAGGGTTTTGAGCCAAAGTCAGTGTCTGATTGGAACCTGGAGGATTACACGGGCGGATGTGTCAGGAAAACAAGTTTGCAATGTGAGGATTCCAATCCCTCTAATGGGGATAATGAAGGGTTCATTGCAATCTTCAACACGGTATTACCTAAAAATGCGCAACTTCTGCAGTTAGAGAATGAAGTAGAATGTGAGTTAACTTGCTTGAAAAACTGCTCATGCACTGCTTTTACATATAGAAATGGATGTTCAGTTTGGTTTGGAGACCTCATGAATCTACAACAATTGTCTTCTGATGATAGTAGTGGACAAACTTTGTATGTCAAATTTGCATCAGAAATACTTGAAGCTAGTAATAACAGTGATCGGGGGAGGGTGATTATTGGTGGTGTTGTGGGTGCAGTTCTTGCCATAGGGATACTCTTGGCCCTTCTATTGTTTTTCGTATTTAGGCGAAGAAAGAGAATGCTTGCAACAGGAAAGCTATTGGAGGGTTTTATGGCGGAATTCGAGTACAAGGATTTGCAAATTGCGACAAAGAATTTCTCCGAGAAATTGGGAGGAGAAGGAGGCTTTGGTTCCGTTTTCAAAGGAACATTAACTGATTCAAGTGTTGTAGTAGTGAAGAAGCTAGAGAGTGTTAGCAAAGGAGAGAAGAAGTTCAGAACAAAAGTAAGTATACTAGGGACAATGCAGCATGTTAATCTTGTTCGCCTTCGTGGATTCTGTTCAGAAAGTACAACCAAAAGGTTTCTGGTTTATGATTACATGCCAAATCTTTCCTTGGATTTCAAATTATTTGGGAACAACAATTCTGAGGTGCTGGGATGGAAAACGAGATACCAAATTGCTCTTGGAATTGCAAGAGGACTAATATACCTCCACGAGAAATGCGAAGAATGTATCATACATGGAGATATAAAGCCGGAAAACATTCTCCTTGACGCTGATTTGAGTCCAAAAGTTTCCGACTTTGGCCTAGCAAAGCTAATTGGACGGGATTTCAGCAGAATCCTTACATCCATGAGCGAAACAAGAGGTTATCTTGCTCCAGAGTGGTTTTCTAGGGCTTCTATCACAGCGAAAGCCGATGTTTACAGCTACGGAATGATGCTTTTTGAGGTTGTATCAGGTCGGAGGAACTCCGATCCATCTCTAGATGGTGAATTTATTTTCTTTCCTGCCTTGGCTGCAAAAGTAGTTAACCAAGGTGGTAGTGTCCTTACTCTTTTGGACCCTAGGTTGGAGGGAAATGCTGATATTGAAGAGGTTTCTCAAATGATAATAGTTGCTTCTTGGTGTGTCCAAGAAAATGAAACTCAGAGGCCAACTATGCGTCAGGTAGTTCAAATTCTTGAGGGGATTTTGGATGTGAATGTGCCACCAATTCCAAAATTCAATCAAGTGTTTGTAGATAACTAAAAGCAATATCTGATAGCTAGCTTCAAGTCTTTGGCAGAAAATTAAAATAGATTATTGTGTCTGTTGCTATTTGTTACTCTATTGATTATATTGTAATATATGGTTTGAACAATGATATTTTCTTTCCAAGATGGTATTATATACAATAAAAAAAAAAAATGTTAGTATTATCTGGTCGTATTACCTATACGCGGTCATTTTATTGATCATGTAGACCACGCTACAGCAAAGATCAACTCTTCTTGATCTTATGGTAATCTTATCCTACGAAAGGTGGTTCAACTTCAGAATTTTTAGTGTGGTTCTAATAGGATACAATCAACTTGAAATAAGTATATTTGATTTTTAATGAAGATATGTGATTGATGCGTCTACTTACTTCCTTGATGGTAGTCTAGTACAATACGACTCATGAGTCATGACAATAAGGTCACTAGTCCCTCTTTCTCAAAGTTTCTCCGTTGAAGTTTCTCAATGAAGTCATGAAAATTACAACTGATGATAATGACTTAAAACTGATCCACAATGACCTTAATGTGTGGAAGAGCAGCCACTAGGCACTCATCATTACCACAATTTTCTTTATATATAGTTACTCCATTGAAGAGTTTTAGCCATATTATCCAATATGATGAAACCTTGGTTCTGGCTTTCTCTTCTTAACCTCTTCTTCTCTTTGCACTTATATCCTTCTCTTGCAGCTTTAACAACCATCTCAACAAACCAATCTCTCTCTGGTGACCAAACTCTTATCTCTAATGGAGGAATCTTTGAACTCGGTTTCTTTAAACCAGGTAATAGTTCCTCTAAATACTACATAGGAATATGGTACAAAAAGGTTAGCCAACAAACAATTGTTTGGGTTGCCAACAGAGATAACCCTGTCTCTGACAAAAACACTGCCACCTTAAAAATCTCAGCTGGTAACTTAGTTCTATTAGACCAGTCATCAAAACAAGTTTGGTCAACAAACATGAGTTTTCCTAAGTCAGATTCTGTTTTAGCTATTCTTCTAGATAGTGGAAACCTTGTTTTGAGAAATAGGCCTAATGATGATGCATCAGATCCTCTATGGCAGAGTTTTGATCACCCAACAGATACATGGCTTCCTGGTGGAAAAATTAAGCTGGACAAGAAAACAAATCAGTCTCAGTTTCTGACTTCATGGAAGAATGGCGAAGATCCTTCAACGGGTCTTTTCTCTTTGGAACTAGACCCAGAAGGAAAAAAGTTCTCTCTTCGTTGGAATAAGTCTCAAGAGTATTGGACAAGTGGACCTTGGAATGGACATACTTTTAGTGGTGTTCCAGAGATGAGGATCTTCAATTTTTCGTTTGTGTCAAACGAGAACGAGAGCTTTTTCACTTACTCCATTTACAACGATTCAATTATATCTCGACTTGTGGTGGATATCTCGGGGAAGATCGAGCAATACACGTGGTTGGAAAGTTCCAATAAGTGGAATCTGATTTGGTCACAGCCAAGAAAACAATGTGATGTTTATTCTTTCTGCGGTGCATTTGCAATATGTGATGACAACTCATTTCCTTATTGTACCTGTTTGAGCGGTTTTGAGCCAAATTCAGTGACTGATTGGAATCAGCAGGATCACTCAGGTGGGTGTATGAGGAAAGAAAGTTTGCAATGTAACGGTTTCAAATCCATTAATAATGACATTTTTGTTGAAGTCCCCAACGTGGCATTAGCTCCACAAGCACTATTTTCAGTAGATGAAGCGAGATGTAGGTCAACATGCTTGGAAGTATGCCCCTACATTGCTTATACATATAATAGGAATGGATGTGCTATTTGGTCTGTAGACCTCATGAATATACGACAATTGTCTAGTGATGATAGTAATGGAGAAACTTTGTATATCAAACTTGCTAGTGAAAGTAGTTATCTGGGGAGGGTGACCATTGGTGACGTAGTGCGCGCGGTTGTTGCCATAGGGATGATTGGGATGATGCTATAGCATTAAGTCTTTGACAGAAAACTTGGAGGGCTCATTGTGTGTGATGTATAATTTGAATAATGAAATTCTCATTTCAAGTTGGTATTATTTCAAACATGATACTATAAAAAAATGATATGTCATGCAATCAGAACACTGTTATTCATCCTTTCTAATACAAATGAAATATCAATTAATACTTTAGTTCAACTTACTTGTGGTGAGAAGGGAACAATCACTATGCATCCATGTTCGTGGAGTACTTCCTTCCTAATCTACAAGTTGAAAGGAAGACGGGTATGAAGGAGAAGGGAGCTGACCACAAGGAAGGATGAAACAAATATGATTTGATGCTGCAATGTTGCTTATTTATTTTAACAGAAACCGGTCCTATATATAGGAGAGTATGGGACAGGTGCTCAGCATGTGGAAGAAAAGCCGGTGGTTTGTCAAGATAATAGTTGCCCAAATAGCATTAGCCACAAATTTCCTCCTATTGGTTTATGCAACCAGGTTGTATTAGAGTTAGTTGATATTGTTATTTTAGTTAAATTAGTTACACCTAAACTCCTATTATATTGTAATAATCATCTATGATTGACCTACATTTTATATATGATGCACGAGGAAAGTAAAAGAGAGTGTCTTTTAAACCTAAAATTTGTTTCTAGAGACAAACCTCTTGAGTTTCTCCATATAGATCCTTTTAGCTTCTCATGGACAAAAAAATATGTGATGCAATTATTATGACTTTGCTATTGTAGAAGATTTCACTACCCTTGCACCTTATTCTTGGTTCACAAGGAAGAAAAATTTAAGGTATTTGTTAAGTTTGTCAAGTTTGTGTAAAACCAATTCGATTTAAAAATTATCACACTTAGTAGTAATCGTGGTGGTGAATTTATTAACCATCATTTAAAAAAAAATTTGCAACAAAAAATAGATAACACATAACTTCTCATATTCACACACTCGACAATTGAATAGTGTTGTAGAGCGTAAAAACCGTATTTTAGAAGAATTAGCATGACAAATAATAAGTGAAATGAGTTACCTAAGTACTTTTGGGCGGATGCAATTAACACTGCATGACATGTCTTAAATAGGATAGTCATTAGACTTGTCATAGAGAAGACCTCATCTGAGTTACTTAAAATTAGAAAATTAAATAATTTTTTATTTTTTATTTTCAGCTGCAAATGCTTTATTTTAAACAATGGCAAAGACTAGCTAAAAAATTTTGATGTGAAAGTTGATAAATTAATATTTATAAAATTCTCTTCATCGGGTAAAGCTTATATGGTTTTTAATAATAGAACGTCTATTGTTGAGGAGTCAGTGTGTATTGCTTTTGGTGAAACCAAATCTTAATATACAAAGAGAGGTGGTTCTTTTTGTGATGTTTCAGGTATTACGAAAGACTTATTCAAGGGCGACACCCTAAATGTGGATCCTCCAAATAACGAGGATATTAAAGATGATGATAATTAAGATAGTGAATACGAGGATGATAAATAAGAAACCTCAACAAAGCTTCTTCAAAAATGGATTGTGGCGAAAAACCACATTGTTTTCAATTGATGTCGTCAAGAACAAACCAAAATATGAGAAAAAGATTGAGTTTCTTGAACAAACACAAGAAACTCTATTAGGTTTTACAAATGATAGAGAACAAAGAAGAAGAAGAATAAGAATTGGTTAAAACTGTTTTACTATTCACTTACTCAATAAGGGTTCAAAGATTACAAGTGAATACCAACAATTAACTACTTTCAACAAGCTGAGAGAGCTCGTCTATTTATATACTATAAACTAACTTAGCTTACAAGCTAATTTAACAATTGTGTTTACAAGGAAGACCCCACAAAGCTAACATATTTCGACGGCATGCTAGAACAGACTACGACTACAACATGCACAACTCATATCAAACCAAGAAGCTACCCTTATCGACATTAGAGTTTGATCTAAAACACCACAAATCTACACCTTGGAATAAACTCTATACTAACAAGGGAACAAACTAGTTTTCATCATGCAGTTTTATCAACTTCATACAGTGGAAAACCTTGCTACTCGACAATGTCTTGTCTCGACTCCTCATAACTTTCTTATAGTTTCTAGGTTTTTCATCCAGAACCTCACTTGTAGAGATTAGGGCATACATTATAAGATCTGCATATGTAACCAAGCCTTTGAGGTGGCTTGATGACTCTTCTCGAGTTGTCTCTTGTCGTAGGTAGTCATTATCAATCTCCTCATCTTCATCAACAACTTGAAATTTTTCTTTGACTTCATATGGGTCATGAAATTCAACATCACTATGCCCCACCTCAACATGAATTTCTCCCTGTTCTAGCTCTTCTTCAGAGATCTTTAAACTTCGAACAATATCATCTGTTTTCTTGAAAGTTATCTCAGCTTCATTGGAAACTACATCTCGACTTGTGATACACCTCATGTGACATGACTCTAGGCACCACAACCTATAAGCTTTGACTCCTTCAGAGTATCCAAGAAACATACATCTCAAAGCTCTAGGTTCGATCCTGTCTTGCCTAACATGAGCATAGACTATATAACCAAATACTCTAAGTCTGTCAAGACTAAGTGGATGGTCCGACCGGAATTCTTCAAGTGTCTTCATTCCTAAGGCATTCGAAGGACACCTATTTATCAGGTATGCTGCAGACATGATTGTCTCAATCCAAAACACCTTCTTCAATTCTGCACTAAATAACATGCACCTCACCCTTTCCAAAATAATTTGATTAAACCTTTCAGGAAAACCATTTTGTTGAGGAGTACATGAAGTATTTCCATGCCTTGAAATAAAATACGCAAGACAACAGTTGTCAAAAGCCTCATGGCAATATTAAAGACCATTATCGGTCATCAACCTCTTGACCTTCCTGCCAGTTTGGTTTTCAATAAGTTCTTCTAACTTTTGAAATTTTTAAAAGTTTCATCCTTAGTCTTCTGGATGAATACCCATAATTTTCTGAAGTAATTATCGACTATGGATAGAAAATACTTTGCACCTGAA